GGGACAAAATATATTGGGAACATAAAGTAAAACTGCACGTGTGTTGGCATGAGCAGATTCAGCAGAAATTAATGTTAGATTCACAAAGGCAGATTCAGCGTATTCACCCATCTCACAGATACTGGTGGGAGTTGCCTACGGCTGAATAAAGGTAATAGTTTAGCCATTGCTTGGCAAGCGAATGCATGGAAACTCCTCCTTGGCTGGCCTTTTTTACAACATTATCCTGTTGTTTCCGTGGGATCTGATGTCCTGCGAATGCACGGGCATTGCTCATATTTGTGCTGTTCTCCTCATGCAACTGTAGTACCAGGAAAATAAACTACTCCCCCCATTCAGATGAATGCAATATACTGTATTAATACAATAAAATCACCTAATCTGATCAACAAGTCCCTCAGTAACCATGAACAGAGTGGCACAAATGCACTAAGCCTCTCCTTCTCCCTTTCTTTCTTGTGTGTGCAGTCGCTATCCTCCTGAAGGATGATTATTTCGTCAGTGGTGCCGGACTGCCAGGCAGATTCAAAGCAGAAAAAGTGGAGTTTCACTGGGGTCAGAGCAATGGATCAGCTGGCTCGGAGCACAGCATCAATGGCAAGAGATTCCCTGTCGAGGTGAGTGGAAGAGAAGTGCATTCCTGGTCTTGCAAAAAAAGAAAGTGCTGCAGTAGTTTGTGTGGGATCTGAAACACCAAGCTATTTCCTGTGGTTAATCTGTTGCTTTTGTGACCTCTTGGTACTCTGATTATCATTGCTCGTGCTGTCAAGATGTCGTCCCCTCCTCCTCCTGATCCCTGCTTAAAACTCTCCTTTGCCATGAGGTCTACAGCTAATTTCTGACAACAGTTAGGCAGGCGCAGTGCAGAGACCATTGCCTGTCTTCCATGTTCTCCCATGGTTTTCTTACATTCCCCATCTCTGTCATAGTTGCCCGTTTTCTCCTGTCTTGTTCTTTAATGGTGAGCTTGGTGTGGCAGGAGCAGACTTGCTATTGTGCCCGGCACCATGGCTTGTGATGGTACTCATAAGCACTACCATAGCACTCAGTATTGTTGTGCCTGTGCCGTTTCTTTTCCTTGCCACGAAATTTTGCTGATAGCTCTCAGCTTATGTAGTAGGGTTTGCATTGCAGATGAATAGCACAAAAGGGAGCTCTTGCTGTGAATCCTGTCCCTATGCTAAGCACTCAGGGGTAGAGAGGAAAGGTGGTTTTGGGAGCCTCTGGGTGCAGTTCTCAGGCTCTGCCACAGTTTACCTGGTACAACTTTGGGCAAGTTGCTTAGGGGAGATTTCCAAAAGTCTGAAGGGAGGTAGGGACTGAATTCCCATTCACACATCTAAAGATCTCCCTTCCTACCTCAGTTTCTCATCTATAGAATAACAGCTTTTCGGCCCTCCCAGTGTATGTGTTTGTTGCAAGGCCTTTGAGGCAAGGATACTCTCTAACCATGTGTTTAGGCAGCACCTTGCACAATCTGGGCCTTGATGTCTCTGGAACATCTACCCTGATAATAATGTATTAGTTTCTGTGTTGACCCCTCTTTTACAGTTGGCCGTCCTGGGATGAGCAAAGGTGGGTTTTGTTTTATTTTATGTTTTTTACTGGACAAAAGTATATGAGTAACATATCTAGAGCCAGCCTACTTCTCTTTTCAGGCCTTAGGATGTAGAGGCAGTGGACACTGAAAGGACTTACTGTATTTCCACTTCAGAAGCCCTTTCCTATCGTGGGGGGGAAAAACCCCAACCAAGTACCTCTGTTTCAGAATTTAGGCCACTGCTTATTTTCTGCATATTACGGTGTTTCTGCTCTTTCCAAATAGCTTTCATTTTCAAATATGTAGCTTAGCCCCTGTCATTCCCAGCCCCCTTCTTTTTTCATCATAACCACATAGGTGTCTGGACATGGATGTCCTGATTCTAGTAGAACTCACTCCCGTCCTTGCTTCCTTCCTTGCTTGCTTCCAAGAGACCAATTATGAAAACTTGGTCTCTCTTTTTGGGATGCAGATTCCTTTAGCAAGTACACTCTGCACGCTTGAACCGCCTCACTGAAACTCCTGCCAAAGAAGCCGCATCGATTTTCAGGGGTGCTGTGGTTGCTCAGACACTTCCAAGTTTGGGTCCTTGCAGCTCAGACCTGCATACACATACTCATGCCATAGTTCCTTGCACAAGGGGAGCAGGCCCCTCCGAGATGTAACTGCGTATGTATTTGCAGGATGGAGTCTTTAATTTGTAACACTAATTGCAGTTCAGCCTGTAAGTGCCTGCTGTAAGCTTAATTGACTGATGCTGGGAGCTGTGTGCCAGAAACATCGTGCTGCATTCGAGAGGTGGCATTTCTAGGAAAGCTATAAAAAGAAAAGAAAATAGCCCAGAACACAACAAGGATGGCCCCACTGAGCTGAGCCCCGGGGCACAGGTCAGGCACTTGTGGTGTACTCAGGTGCACTTTGTATTCCAGGTTTGGCACAACGCTAATGTCAAAGCGTTTGAAAGCAAATGTTCTCTGAACCTAATTGGGAAGCCAGATGTGGACTGTACGAAGTCCATTAGTTTCAAAGTGCCCCCCCTGGGAATGCAGATAAATCTGTTTCATCGCTCTGTAAACACGGAGTTTAGACGTGTATTCCTCTGCAAAACAAAATACTTGCTGTTAGTCTTTTTGCTGAAGAGGATGCACTGCTTGCAGGAACTAATTAGAAATGTCAGCTATAATACTGAGCCTTATTGTTTGACCATGTTGTTTGTTTTTTATTATTACAACTAATGTGTCAGATGGTAAGGCTGTCTATGTTAATTGGTTTCCTTCATTGAAGCCCATCTGGATCATATTTTTTTTGTGATTTATACGTTAAATTAGTGGATAAGATATATGAGAATGTCCTTTCACTTCATACTTTAAAAGCAAATCAGATCAAAGGCCCTTTATCTTCCCCTACTTTTATTTATACATAGCATAATTGTCATGCCTTTTCAAAACACAGCACACACGACAATATTTTAAATGGTTAGCATCACAATGCAAGCTCAACAGCTCATCTCTCTATTCGATGCTCTCTGCTGATGTTACAGCAGTCCTTATCCAGGCACTGTGAGCTTGGCTGTATCCGAAGCCACTGTCCTTCTTGAGTGGTGGCTGTCCCCTGGACCTCGAGCCTCTGCCGACGGCCGTGTGCTAATACCAGGACACTAATATTGGTTGGCACCGTGTCGCCTTGACTCTCTCTGCTTCCTCTCCACATATTAGCGCCTGCGGCTGAGCTGGGTTATTAAGTAGTGCCGTGATGCTGAGGATTAAATCAGTTTGATGAGAGTGGCACTAACTCTGGTGAGGAGCATCCGGGCTCCATGCCTGCTTGCAGATTCTCCACTCGCACACGCACCTTTCCCCCAAAGTTGTTCATGTTGCGTTCCCCCATTGTAATGAGTGGCTGACTCCCATTTTGTGCTGTTTTCATTCTGTTCAGTTGTAATGAGTTCATTTTTTTTTTTTTCCTTTCTAGCGTCACAGTAGAATGAGTCTGCGCCCAAAAGCTGGAAGGCATTTAAACTATGAAGTGATAAAAATTAAAAAAGGAAAAGAAAAAAGCTTCCCCCAGGCCAGTATAGAACCCAGGTTCTCCTCATTAGAGCCAAGAGTAATAACAACAGCAGTTTCATCCCTAGCGCCTCGGCATTACTTAATAGATCTGTCTATGAAGAGGGTCGGACATGGGAGGCAGGCGCAGGGTGGAAGCACACCGTTATAGCAGCTCGTAGGCAGCACCTCTGTTGCAGCACCACTGTGATTTTAAGTTGATTCCTATTCATTTTTATGCAAAATGCTGATTATTTCTGTGAAGAGCAGAAATCAGAAGAGTGATTTTAATCATGACTGTGTTAATTTGATGTGAGCTTCGGCTGTTTATGAGCTTTCTTTTTAATGGCTCTAATTGTCAGTTATAATGTGAACGCCATTATACAGTAATATACAGTAATTTATTTAGTAAATGAGAATTTTATTCCAAGGACCGTACCGCTGCATGCCATGGAGACCTAATCCCTTTAAACTTACATGAGGAAACTCGTACTGTCTGGGCCAAATTTGTAACTGGGACTTCAACTTGGCTTCTAAGATCGCAGCTGCAATTCTATGCACATCAGCTCCTAGGTTTGCATTTTAGGAGATCTGTTGCTGAGCAGCACAGAGCTCAAGGGGTGATGGAAGAGCTAGTCTCCCTTTGTGGGGATGAGCCTGATTCTCTGGAAAAATATTCCACCCTATGTCAACTGACCCGTTTCCCTAAAGGACTCTTGCAAACAATCATTTGCACAAGCAGTTCTTGTTCCTTGTGAAATCTAGGACCTAGGACATTCTTCAGGATCTCAGATGATCCTTTGTGTCACCGCTCAGCTCTCTCGAGCAGTTCCCGTTGCCAATGGTACTGAGCGAGACCAGCACTAGATGCCCAGATCTGTAGAGGGTTGCTCCTTGGCAAACATGATCCCTTTACCTTGGTGCAGCACATTGTGCTACCATATATCATGCACCAATACATTGGGAAGCATTATGTTCCTAATAAAAGAAAAAAAGAAAGCATGGAATTTTTTTTTTTATGGCAAATGAATGAAATCCATCATCCATGTCTCTTTTTACTGGTAATATTAATGCCTTCTGCCATACCTGAGGTCATTTATCAAAAGTGATTCTAAAGTCTTGGAGCCTCTCAATGAAATGAGGGGAAGGGATGTGTCTTTTCGTACTTAACATTGGGTTCTGGCTCTGATTTCTGACTGTCATGTCTACTGCTAATATTGGGTCCATAACTGTTTTGGGTGAACTTGTCCAGGGTTTGTAGGCTTTCTGCACTTACCCAAAGAAGAGCATATTATAAAATATTTTCTAGAGACCAGTGGGGGAGCTCCTAGGCTACTTTACCATGCTAGAGCTGCCTTGGTCGTTGAGCAGTTGTAATTTTGCTAAGGTTTTCTTTGCAGTGGGCTGTCAGCAGATGTGCAGATTTCTAGGCGCAGGGAGCCAGCAGCAGTTTCATGTGCTCATATGTCACTTGGCAGTTGCTCTTCCAATTCTGTGTGTTCGTCAGGCAGGATGTAGAAGTCAGTAAAATGACAGCAGGACCCAAAAAAAGGACCACTGGGACTATGTCGCAGCAGGAGACTTCAACTGGGCAAAGGGAATTCCTCTGTAGCGCTTTCTCGGACGATGATCTTGTAGTCGTGGGCCGGTGCTTAGGGCTCCCATTGACGGAGGCCTTGGCCGTCTGTTCTGCGTTGTGTGTTGGTTGTGCAAAGTAGTTCTCGGGGACTTTCACCTGCTGGTTGCTGTCTCGCTCTGCATCTGCTTTGGCATTTTCAACTTCATCTTTCAGGTGAGGAAGAGATGGCTCAAGTATTCCCAAGCTCCATCTCATTCTTTTGGCAAACAAGATATTTACAGGCAGGTTTTTTTTTTTGTTAGCTTGAACCTACTCTTCCCCCACGTTACCCCCCAGACCCAAGATGATGGAGAAAAGGTGCAACACCAGGAACTGCCGGTGACGCGGCACCCTTCCAGCCTCTCCGCTTCTCCCCCTCAGTCCTCCTCTGTTTATAATGGTATATTGGGCTTG